TCTATATATCTATACTACCTTCACGGTGACATTAAATATTTAACACAAACATCCCCGAATCCGATTTATTCATTTGAATTATTAAATAATTTGAATTTAGCTTTTCAAAAAGGTGGCCACCCTCTTCGAACACCTCAAAAATATTTTAATTGTTCCAGTTAAAGATTTCTTAAAACTCTTTCGTTTGCCACTCACATTTTAACATTGCATACATAAATAACTTTTTTATAACTCAAATAAATTCGACTTTTCATTGTAATAATTCACTTGTTAAAGAAATTGAATGGAATTCAATTTTTTAACAGGGGGAAGCTATTTCATCAAACTAAATCCATATTGCACATCTGCAGGATAATTTGACAACTAATTTTTTAAAATCGAACCAACAAAATAGATCTGGGGCCTATTTCATAAAGCGACAGTGACAATTTTGTATCAAGAGGCATTTTCAATGTCAGTGACAATTCGACAGTTTGGTGGGTGTTTTGTTTCATAAAAACAATTGTCACCACCTCTTAAATTCCATGAGAAATTTCATTGAAAAAGTAACAAATTGTCATTTTCGGGGTTTAAAATTGTCGTTGACAAAATTGTCGCCAGTCATATGAAATTTATATATAAATCATAAGTAATAGTTGCATTGCATTATTTTAGTTTTAAGAAATAATCAACTTATTTAAAAGTAATGAAATGCGCGCAATTACCATATAAATAAATTTACAAAACTCTCCTGTGAAAGCTTTCCGACGGAGCTATTTGGTTTTGTCGCCATTGTCGCGACAATTTTGTCAGAGTGACAATTGTCAGCACAATTGTCGACAATATTCCATATTATCACTGTCGTTTTCCAAAAATTTGCACAGTTGCCTACAAACGTACATATTGTAACCTGAAGTGCAAAATAACGTAACATCATCGCCAGTGAAATGGAAAAAGTCGTGACTAATACTTTTTTTCATAAAACCATGTGGGGAGTTGTAATTTGATGAAATCGATCATAGCAATCAAAAAGTGAATTTTGAATTTTTTATAAGTTACGAAAGAACTTCCAGTCGGGTTTATGTATAAGTAGATTGCCATCACCCGCTTCGCTGAGTGTATGAAACTTCTGCGTGCTATATCAGGTGTCATTTACTTCAATAAATCTCAACATGCTTCAACTATGCCATAAACAGGAGATTTAAAATTTTTTTTAATATCTTCAGAATATTTTTGAACTAAAACTTTCTTAAACTTCTCTATTGTGATACTTTTTTTATTATTATATACCCTCAATTCTAATACATATATACATATAGATTAAAAAAGCGACAACCCCCTTGCATGTAGTTTAGAAATGAAGCCCTTTCAAAGCTATTTCGATTGAACCCCTATTATAACAAGTACTTCATTGAAATTATTGAATAGTTTGAGTTTAACTTTCTGAACAATTGGCAACCTTTTTAGACCTCTTTTGTCTCACACTCATATTGTGATACATACATAAGCATTCAAATTACCTAATTCCTATAATAGAAATTTAATTTGAATTTCCAACTACGTTGACTTTGGCAGACTTTCGATTAATACCTATATTGTAATAACTCATTTAACTTACAATATAATTGAATTTGAATTTAGTTTTTAAACAATTGGTAACGCTCTTCAAATAACTCAGAAGGCTCTACAAGCTCAATCTGAACATTTCTTAACACTCTTACGTTTGACAGTTTAACTTATTATAATTAGTTTATATTCGACTTTTAATAAAAAAGATGGCAACCCTCCCCAAAATATTTTCCTACTAAACCCTTATTAAACCCCTTTGCTCTGACACCCATATTGTGATACATATTCGAATTATCTGATTCCCTTAGTTCAAGTAGAATTTGATTTTTCAAACAGGTGGCAACTGTATTTCATGTAGTTTAGAACTAAAACCGTTTTCAAAAACATTTCGATAGACATTAATATAGATAGATAAATATTAATAATTTAAATTTGACTTTTCAAACAGCTGGCAACCCTTTTCAAAATATTTTCGAACTACAACGTTTTTAGCATCTTGATATTAATTTTTTAAGACAATTTTCAAATAAATAATTCCCTTAATTCAAGTTGAATTTGATTTTTAAACAGGTGGCAGCCCTCCTCCATGATTGTGGAATTGATTTTATATATCTACATGCCAAGTTCCAGTACTCTATCGCAAACATTTCTTGCGATATATTGTATAAAAATTACGTTTGTATGGGAGGTATATATATAATCGTGATTAAGTCTGTCCTAGATTTTAAGTTGGACTAAATTACACCAGTGTACAAAATTTCATGATAATAAATAAGTTGAGTAGTTAAAGCGTGTAAGCGTAACAAATAAACAAACTCTCTTTCAGATTTATAATATTAGTAAGGGTGTGACATTTTCAAACAACTGTTCACTTCAAAAATATTTCGATTTTTTTTTTCATTATTATTATCATACATATGTACATATCGAGCCCTAACCGCCAAAATAACGTAAGCGAAATTTTTTTCAAAATTTTCTTTTTGATGCAGAAATATTCCTAGAGCATCTAGATGCATTTCTGCATCAAAAACAAAATTTTGAAAAAAATGTCGCTTACGTTATTTTGGCGGTTAGGGCTCGATATGTACATATGCAAATTTCAAATACATACGTATATTAATAACAATGTAATTTTTTTCTTTGCAGAGCGAATCACCCAACGATCTACGAAAAACAACGAAATACTAAAGCGTAGCCAGTACAGAATTATTTTTGTTTAATTAAATAAATCGAGTGAAAATTTTAATAACAATAACATAATCGAAGCGAATTTTTATTGAGCAGAAGAAAAACGTGTAATTACTGAACAAGACAAAGAGTGAGACTGTATTTAATACAAAACACAACGCACACACACATACACATGCATAAAGTATGTTATGCATACAATGAGCACATAATAAAAAAAGCAAAATATTTACAAAGAAAAACAAACACTCATTCACTCACGCGTTAAATAAAATTTAAATTACACAAACACTTTTCACAACAATACAACTTGCATACTATTTAATTAATAAAATATTCGACTAATTAACCAATTACAATTTAAAATTTTAACGATTTCAGGATTTTAACTTTTGTTTAAATATCTTTATTCTTTGCTTTACATTTTATTTTAAATTTATTTATTTTTTTAAACTGGTTTGTTAAATTATCAATTGTTCTGGCCTTAAAATATAGATTTGTGTTGGAATTTGTCATTTTATAGGCGCGCGTGTCAATCTTTCTACACAGAGGTAAAACATTTACATATACAGTGCTTTAAACAAGTGTTCAAGTGTTGATTCTTTTTAAATATGCACAACGTTTTTCAAGTAAAATACTTTTGTTAATTTTCTATAAAAACATTGGCCAAGCGTTAACCAAAACCCTATAACTCAAAGTTTCCAACTTTATACTAATTCAACAAACTTTAATTTAAACAAACCGCAAAAGCAGTAACAAAAAAAAACAAGTTTCTCAAAATAAACGGGATTTCTCAATCTTTTAAAAAATGGTTTTCTCCATAAGTTTCTATATTAAATTCAAATAAAAAAATAATTTTTCACTTAAATTGCGTTCATGAAACTAACTTTAGAAATGTTCTAAAAATAAAGAATTTATGGTTTGAAATTTTGATGAAATTTGTTTTTATTTTTCTAAATTTTTTGTAAAGTTTTAAACTTGGATTTGTATGGTTTTGGCTAAAGCTTGGACAATGTTTTTTACAGAAAAATAACAAAAAAAAAAGCCTTGAAAAACGTTGCGAATATTAAAAATAAATCAATACGTGAACACTTGCTTGAGTCATTGTATGTATATTCACAAGATAGCTTAATCGTTGTAATGTCATAAATTTGTAAAATTTTTCAATTTAAAATAACGTTTAAAATGGTTTTAAGGGTTCCACAGAGTATAATATAAGCTAATAACATCGAGCCATGTCCGTCAAAAATACGTAAGCGACATTTCTTTCAAAATTTTCTTTTTGATGCAGAGATATTCCTAGAGAATCTAAAAAATTAAAAACACCTTGGAGTAGTTACAAATCCCCCCCAAAAAGAAACATAGAAACCGTTACTTTATAAAAAAACTTACGACCTTAAAAATTTTCGACGCTTAACACTTCTGATGACCACCCTAATTGTATATGAATTAGCAACTACTATACTCTGCTATAATGGGATTCTAACATTCTACAGTCATAATATGTACTTGCATATAAAAATTTTCAAAGCGGGTACGAGATATCTTTTGGCTGAATGTTATTTAGGAAGGGTTCTGGGATTCCTGTGCAGCCGCTTTTCCTTCACTTTATTGCCAATTCCTCCACTGTTCACTTGCGACAAAGCATTTTTTATATTACTAAAAATATTTATTCTTTTTAAGATCTCTTTTTTTTTTGGAACTCCTCACCAATAGTCTGACAGAAATTGCGTGCGATCCGAAACACTGTTCAGCAATTACCAAACTTATTAGTATTAAGTTTGATTTGATCCGAATTTATGTACGTATGTACTTTTGTTGTCACACGAACCGAAGAGTCTTTTGTCAATCCGGACTCAAATGTTAATACTTAAGCTTTGAAGTCGACAGCGAGGGTATCCATATTAATATTTTTTCCGGTATTTTTAAAACAATTTTTATAAAAATAAATTTGACAATTTATTTATTTTATTTTTTTTTTAGTTTTTTCTTTTAATTATCTACTTTTTCTTTCTCTTTTATTTTGCTTACTTAATTTAATTTCTTTTAAAAAAATTTTCAGTTATTTATTTATTTACTTAAACAAACTAATTTTTTGCATGCTAAAAAAGTTTGCAAATTCTTAAACTTACCACTCCTCCTACAAACTTTCGTTAGATTTTTGTTGTGTGTCATACAAATCCAAATCCACTTGCTACTTTTAAAGTAACAAATTGTCATAAATTATAATAAAAGCAAAGAAACAAAAACTTTTAACAAACGTAATGGCCGCCGTTCAACGTAAATTGGTTCACAAGCAATTCAATTCCCCAATCGGATTATATTCGCAGCAAAATGTCAATGAGACATTGAGTCGTGAGCTGAAGGCTTTCGGCGCAGATGGGTAAGTTTACAAATTGTGTAATTTACTTGTAAATGAAATGCCTCATTTGAAAATGTATTTTTAATTTGTTTTACAAATTCTATAATAGTTAAGTTTCAATTTAGGGGATAGCACGTGACGCTTATTATTCCATTTTAATCTGCCAGAATATCGGTAATCTCAATAGAGCAATTATAGCAAATATGTCTATAGGACATACTCGAGCAAAAGGGAACAGTTCATTCCATGTAAATATGTTAAAAATGGTATTATTTGTATCTTGCTTTGCTAAAAAAAAGTAATAGAATAAAAAAATATGGGTGCATTCCAAACCGTCAAAATACAAAGCATCAGTCTCTTCCTTCTACTACTGTTCTTAATGCACTGGAAGTATTTGTGGGAGAGTGCTGGAGCTTGTTATAGAGATATGTACGTGAAATCAAATTCAGACTCACGGAGAACACTGAGCGTTTTAGGAAAAGGGGCGTGTCACCACCCAAACTAACTGAAACTTCCATATTGCATATCTCTTCGAGAGTACTCAAGATTGGTATTGAGATATGTATTTATGTGAAATCAATGCCTTACTCATGGAGAAAAATGAGTTATTGGAAGTATGTTACATCTGTTATGGATATTTATTTTATCAGGGAGAGCCGGCATTTGCCATCTATCTATATATAGAAAAATTAAATGTCTTTCGTATGACGGCAGAGCCTGACCAAACGGCTGAACGGTTTTCTATTCCGTAAAAAGTACATTTTTGGACCTTCTGTGTGGAAGGTTTTTCGATTTAAAAAAATTTTTAATTTTTTGTTGTTGTTGCCGAAAAATGAAGAACGCTGAGATGTTACGATTTCACAATTTCATAGAGTTTTCCGTATATTGAATGTCACTAAACTACTAAACGGCTGGACCGTTTTCGTTCATATTTGGAACATATATCAGCTCCTTGAGGGGAAATATTTCTACCAAAAATTTGCTCGCTAGGTGGCATTGCATTTACTTGCCGATTTGGCTCATATTTTGAACTTAGGTTAGCCAATTGAAAAAGAATATTTGGACAAAAAAATTACACGATAGGAGGCGCTGGAGCCGGGATATTCCCAAAAATTATTTTACGCTAGGAGAAGGATAGATATCTAATATATATTTGTCTAAGTATGTATGTATGTATGTATGTGCCAGGTTGAAGCCTAAACCGACGGACAGAATCGAACGAAATTCTGACAGAGTGTTACCATGACACCCGTGCCTATAATAAGGAGACAAAAATAGGGATTCGATAAGGAGGCGTGTCACCTCCCATAGGCGTGAAATGTTTATCAGCAATAACTTCGGAACCATAAACCCCACGAACTTGAAATTCGGTATACAGGCATAGCTATGGTAGGTGCTTATATAGGCATTTTTTTATCAGCTATAACTTCGACACCATAAGTCACCTGATCTTGAAAATTTGGTATGCCGACATCTCTATGGAAGGCGTTGAACATTCCATGGGCGTGGAATTTTTTATCAACTATAACTTCCGAACCATAAGCCCAACGAGATTGAAAATTGGTATGCAGGCACAGATACGGTAGGGGCATGGCACATTCCGTAGGCCTGGAATTTTTTATCAGCTATACCTTCGACACCATAAGTCACATGTGCTTGAAATTTGGTATGCAGACATATCTATGGAAGGAGTTTATAGCTTCTGACTTTGAACATCGATCTCGCAGGTTCGATCCCTGCTGAAGTCTAGAAAAAAGAAGTCTGATGAGGAGATTAGACTTTGTTGCTATTTCAATTTTTCCTCATAAAACAATCGTGGTACAAAGCTCAAGAGAAATATTAAAATGTTAATAAGCCACAATAGCTTTGACAAATAAAATATAACATCTTTAAATAATTTTTCATGTTTGTATAAAAACGTGGAGGAAATCCGGTAAAAGCTGGTTTATATCTAAACCGCACTCCAAGGAAAATTATAACTTGCGCAACCTGGTTGAAAAACTAGCATCTAACCATTGTGCAAACCCGTTTTTATTTTAGTGTGGCAGAATCGGCAAAAAATGTGGTAGATTTTCCAATTCAAATTTTATTAGGTACATATATCGCACACCGACGTCAAAAGAGGCACAACCCAAAAATTAGATCGGGGAATATAAGTGCAACTGGATCATACAGTACGCAGTTGATGCAACAACAAGTACAACATTAGTTTTCTAGTTAGAGAATATAATCATGAGGAAAGAAATATTTTCATTAATTTGAGAAAAACCATACATATTGATTTATGCAAAAAAAATCTACCAAATTATTTTTCCATTGCATAATACTTTAGCAAATATAAATATGCGGATTTTTGAAATATTAAAAAGTTAAGGCACAGATATATTTAAAGCAAAATTTATGATGTAAATACCTTTTTGAAAATTTATTGATTAATTTTTATTTCGTATTAGAATTGAGTTGAAATTTTAGAATTATGTGAAAATTGTAAACAAATGTTCTGTCTAAAAATGTTGTGGATTTTAAGCGTTGTGTGGTATTTAGATGTGGTAGACAATCAAATTTTAAAAAATATGTGGTAGATCTACCACATATGTGGTAGAGGTTTGCACATTGCATCTAACCGTGGTTGCGTACATTTGGCATACTGGTGCGAAATAGTGTCAATTGACCTTATTTCCGGTATTATTTACAATAAAACCTCGAATTTGCGTAAAAAACAAGTGTGCTTAAATTCTTAAACAAAAAATTATATCTCATTGGAAAAAATCGGAACGTCCCAATGACTTTGCACTGTTTTTGAAAGCTATTAGACATCGTTAGAAAGTTTAAGTTGACGCAATGGTTATCTCTCCATATATTTCTCCTCTAGGCTTTGCATGAACACCTCCATGAGTATAGCCGCCATTTACTAAGGCAGCACACAGGAGAGAGCTAGACACAATATATGCTATCGCCAGAAACAGTGGATACAAAAAAGATCTGGTGGACAAAATTAGGAAGGACTCGAAACGAAAAAGTAGGGACAAGAAAGAAAACAACGATGCAGCTTGGGCAGTGTTAACTTACACGGGTAAAATGACATACAAACTGGCCAAGGTTTTCCAAAAATTCAACATTCGCACATCGTTCAGAACCAGGAACAACGTCGAAAGGATACTGAACAACAGCACAAACGAAGAGGACACTCTAGATAAGCAGGGTGTATACAAATTAACGTGTGAATGCAGGTGTAGCTACATAGGGCAAACTGGCCGTAAGATTAAAACAAGATTCCGAGAACATATAAGAGACTACAATAAGAGGACACAAAAACCAAGCGTCACACCAGAATCAAACTTCGCAAATCATATGTTCGAAAATAAATGTACACCAATGAAAATTAATAAGGCAGCCAAACTCCTCCATGTACAGCATAAAATACGGCGTTTGAACATATTGGAAAACATGGAGATATACAAGCAGAAAACATTTCAAGGGAGAATTATAAACGAACAAGCAAACACCGTATCCGATGTAATATTCGAACCACTCAAGATGTTGTACGAAAAATATGAGAAGACCCCTGAAAAAAACGCCAACGCGAAGATACATACCTATGCCGCAGAGACGAAGAAAATGAAAATAACGGATTTCTATCTGCCGGAACAAGCAAGCAACCTAATACCTGCTAAATAACGGAACATAAACCGACGCAATCACGAAAAGCAAGAAAATAAAAATAATGGATTTCTACCCGCCGGCGAATACAAGCAACCAAAACCAACATCGGTTGACCTGCACTTTAAGCAAGACCAGCGAAGACCTTTGCCATCATTAATAGTGTCCAGAATTCTTCCTGTCAAACCAGCACATTTTAGATGGCAAATACCATCACAGAGCCAGCACGATAAGTAGCGTTCAGATTCGCTTTTTGGCAGTTATCAAGATCACACTTCATATTGAAATATTTAATAACACTTATGTTAATAAAAAGACAAGCAAAATAAGTTTAACACAACACACACAACAATTTAGGAGCTGATGTATTTAGCTCAAAAATATATGTAGCGAACAGTTTGAGTATCACTGTATTGTGACAATTAATAAACGCAGCGCAAACAGCTGTGACAAGAAATACTAAACGAAGTAAACAAAAAGAGCAAAAAGAAATGTGCAAAAATAGAAATGATCTCAGTTAACTACAAAGGAATAACAACAACAATGATAACAACAAACGACTCGGCAAGATTAGATGTAAGCTAGTGAAATTTAATTAAATTTAATAAAAACCACAAAAATCACAAAACTTTCACTTAGCTTCGGTTATTATCACACTAAGATGCTCGTAGGCACTTTTTATAGCAACTTTTACTCAAAATTAGCACAATAAACTTTGCAAAATACAAAGACCAATCAAGGCACAATATAAGTAGAACTTCACAGCTTGACGTTTGCGATATCAACATGCGATAACAATGACAGTTAAAACAGATAGTAACACGAATACATAAAAAGCGGAAGGAAACACGAACTATTCAGAACGAAAAATGACACTGAAGATGGCACAACGCCGAAACCGGTTTGTCTCCAAACCAAATTTGACAAGGGATGACGGAAAATCGTTCCACAATACATCATTTTTATTGGTTTCAGATAGGTATTCATGATGACTACTCATGACAAAAAATTTGTGTTCATTCAGAGCCTACTATAGTTTTCATGATGAAAAAAGTGTCTCCAAACGGAACATCCGTAACACAGGAAACCCGTATATATAGCTCTACCCAGAATTACAGCGGACGACGGTAAAGCGGTCGGCGGAAAGTGAACAGCTGCACAGTTGCCGCAGTGAAATCCGTCAGAGTAAACAAAATTGTGGCGCACGGCGGCTTCCGTCAAATTAAATATTTTTTTCGGTACGTGCGAGTATGTAGATTTTCTGGAAATAAAAATGGATGAAAACCTTGGAAAACTTGTGAAAATAATACAAATTACTACAATCAACACTCAATCAACATTGTGCCGTCCCCGCTGGGCGG